GTACTTTAATAGAATTAATATGAACTATAACTCCAGCTGTTATATTAATATTAATAGCTTTCCCTTCATTTAAATTATTATATTTAATGGATGAAGTTAATGATCCTTCAATGACAATTACAGTAGAAGGTCATCAATGATACTGAAGTTATCAATATCCTGATTTCTTAGATTCAAATGATGAAATTATAGAATTTGATTCATACATAGTACCAGAATCAGATTTAGAAGAAGGTGGATTAAGAATGTTAGAAGTAGATAATAGAGTAGTTGTACCTGAAGAAACACATCTAAGATTTGTTATAACATCTGGAGATGTTATACATTCTTTTGCTATACCTGCTTTAGGTATAAAATGTGATGCTTATCCTGGTAGATTAAATCAAGTATCTACTATTCTTAATAGACCAGGAACTTATTATGGACAATGTTCTGAAATCTGTGGAATTTTGCACCGAACCCGCCGTACGAGCTCCCATGCCCATTTCAACATGACGCCGTGGCTCGCGTTGTTCCCCGACGCTGTCAATTCTTCCAGCTCCTGGTCGTCCCTCACGTCCCACACCTCCCTGATGAGTTCCTCCGATGGCTTCTGCCGCCTAATCCCGGGGGGTGGGTGTACCCTCCCCTTTCGCATCACCATGTTGCAGTCGATGTTTAGCAACTCCGCCGACATCTTCTTTTCCATGTCGGCTCGTATACGCCGCTGTCTGTCCTCCTCCTTCCCTTTCTCCCTCTTTGGTTGCTTTCGTCTTGTCCGTCTTGTCCGTTTTTCGTGTTTCTCCTGCTTCTCTTCCTCCCGGTACTCCTCTTTCTTGGTCTGACGACGACGATGGACCTACCTTGTCACGGCTCTCTTCTCCTCCGCAAGCTCGTGTAAGTTTCGCTCTCTCGTCTCGCGGCGCTCGATCATGGCAACGGAGAATATCCCCTGTGTCCCCGTCGATAGTATATTTGTGTGATAATCTGCTCGAGGGCATGGTAGCTGGGGAATACGATGGCGGCCCGCCCCCTGGCGGATGTGTCTCTTGAAGGTAGAGTAGGTCTAGAGGTGAGTCTTGCGTCGCCAGAAGTGCTGCTATGAGCGTCGATCATGTCGCTCCCTGGCGGAACAAGAACACTTTAGACATGGCCGCTAATATGTGTTTCGACTCAACCGTAACGTTCCTCTACGAGTCCATACCGGCACACTCTGAATCTCAGACACACAAGTCTCACGAGCTGCCTCTCCTTGTTCATACACGCCGTCTGGTTCATTCCACTGAGATACATTTTCATGCCTATCCTCGAACAAAGAGACAAAGGAGGAACAAAAGAGATATCGAGTAGAAAAGGGGCCTAGCTATAGTTCCGGACATGGAAATGACCGTTGGCCACAGAGTGAACAGAGAAGAAGGTCATTGTTGTAAGTTCTCAGACATTAGCCACGGAACAGCACCGAAGGACAAGTCAACTCAACCATCCACCAAGCAACAGCTGAGCACGTTCATTTGCATCATTTCCTGTAATTTGTCTTATTCTTCGCCCCCGTTCCATTCCACTACGTAGTGACCTCAACCAGGATCTGCCATGCGTAGTCCTGCGTTCCCACGGTTCACGACCATGCAGCAGAGACCATCGCCAGGAGAACCCCTATAGCCAAAGAAAAGAAGAACCTTCCCATGTAATCCATCAACCTCGCATGCATTTCCCATCCAGAAACCAACTTGTTGATGCAAAGTAATAACCATAAAAAAAGGCGAGAAACAGTAAGATCATCCTATGCCAGGCGGCCCCGGCTTGCAGTAACGCATGTATCCCTATGAACCCCAGTTCAAAATAAAACAAGCACACCATAATCGACTGGACCAAGGGAAAGGAGAAAGAAGGCAAAAAAGAAGAAGAAAAAAGTAGAAAAAAAGCATGGCTCCCTGCTTGTCGCCAGATCTTGGATCCCAAACGCCAAACAAATTGCCGCAAAACTAAGTCTTTGAGGAAAGAAAGAAAGAAAGAAAGCAACCTGGAGGGAAAACGGAAAAGAATATTTTGGTATAGGAAGGGTAAGTCATTGAAGATGGTCGCCTGAAGCCATCCTCTTCTATGCTCTGCCCGAAACGCCCCTGGAAAATGGGGAAAGTATGCCGGCATGCAGCTCCATGACCAACGTGGATTCTGGTCCTCGCCGACTCTTTCCCGAGGACCATCCGCGTTTTGTGTAATGGAATATAGGGCAACCGCCCGGCCCTTCTTTTTGGACCTGGGCGTCAAGTCGTTATCATGTTGCGTCGCGTCGCCTCGCGAAGATAAATCCACAGAAGCCGGTTCGCTTCAGGAGGCTTGCGATTGCAGGCTGCGCGGTGTGGCGTCTCCGCTTCGCTTGCGACTCGTGCTATGATACGCCTGCTCGGATTTCGAGGCTTCAGCAATGGTAGCCATTTTCTTTCGGACCACTGCCAACCGAGATGATATCATTTTGATCACTGTGGTTTTTTATTTAACGTTAGCCTCCCCCTGGATTACAGTGCGCATATCGAGCATGGTGTTGTGCATGGAGAAAGGGAAAAGAAGGAAAAGAGAAGGAGAAAAAGAAGGGGGAGGGAAGAAGGGAAAGATTACTCCTCTTCACAACCTGTTGGTCGTCACGGTCCAGCGAACTGGACGACTCTCCCGTGGTCGGCTCGCCAGACGTCGAGTAATGCCTCTTGAAGCTCTCGTCGTCCGTGTCCAGCACCGCCTCGAGCATGTAGATGGCCGTGACATACGATATGACGCACCCTTCGAGGTCAACATTCGATATCTCGTCGATAGCAGCCCGCTTGCTCATTTCCAGAGCGCGGTCGTACATCAGCTTCTCGGCGCTGATGCCTGGCGTCAGGTAGACCTGCTTCGCGCCCGATGCCGTCGACGAGCCAGACTGCACTCCGTGGTTATTCGGGTGGCTCGCGTGGTCTTCGGGCAGTTGCTTTTGCGCCTCCATCAGCTTCAGCCGCACCACCTCCGTCTTCTCGAGGACTTCGTTGAACCGCCCGCGGACCCACTGCACCGTCGAGTTCATCCGCTGGGCCATGGTATCCTTCGCCATGTCGACCGCCATGGTCCCCGTCTCGCCCCGCGTCTTCCTCGTCCACCAAACGTTGGCGACGTCCATGGCCTTGGCTAGCATGGTCAGCGCCTTGACATAGAGCACGAGCGCTTCCTCTGACAGGACAATGACCGCTTCGAGAGTCAACCCCTCCTCCTCCCCCTCCCCCTCCCCCTCCTCCTCGACTTCGTCGGCGGGGATGCCTCCCAGCGCCAGGTCGGTCGATGGGGCCAATGGCACAAGTTGCTTAAACTTCACCTCGCCGAAGCCGTAGACGCAGTCGCTGCGGTGGGCCAGATCTTGGATCAGCTTCACCGCACGGGTGTCCTCGTCCGTGGGCGTATCCTGCTTGCCGTCCTCGAGCAGGCCGACATGGCTAGAGGGAGTGGGATAAGCTGGGAAGGCGCCGTAGATCTGCGGCGGGGACTGTCCTTTGCTGAGGACGTGCTGAGGCATCCTGAAGCCGAAGAGGCGGACGCTGGCATCTTGGATGGCTTTGGTGATGAAGCCCGGGGCCGACCCGGGGCTCCCGGTGAACGGCTTATCGTACGACCCACGACGCTCGTGGCCGGGCCCCCTTCCCTGGGCCACCTGTACAGCCTGGGACTGCTGTGCTCGGACGGCCCCCGACGTTGATGTTGGCGTGCCTTGTTGTGTGGCTCGTCGAATCATCTGTCCACCCTTGGGCGAGACTTGAAGACGCGGGCTCGCTGCCATCTCATCCGCGAACGCATTTACCTCGACGTGTTTCTTCTCAACTACGACATAGTCGCGCTCGAAAGCCACATCCTGTGCTGCCTTTTCCTGTTCGGTCAAGTCAGGTTCGGCGACCGGTCGTAGCTTGCCTCGGCCTCCGTTGTCGTGGAGAAACGACGACGTCGGGGAAGGGGATGCTCGGGTGGTCGGACGGGAAGTCGAAGGGTGAGAGACTCGATGTGGTCTGGAAGGAGCGGAGACATATGACGGTGGAGGGCCTGGGCGACGGATGCCGAGTCCTTGTCCGGCCTCTGGCTGAGGCGAGTGACCCGATCGTGGCGTGTTCTCACGGGAAGCGTACTGGTATCGTGAACCACCGGGGGCCTCCACCTGGGGAGACCTCGAGAGCATCTCGCGGCCGGACTTGGCTGACTCGGCTTCGCTCTGCCGTGTCTCTTCAGTCTGACGCCTATACGATGCGCGGCGATACAACGAAGGGTCCTGCTCCGTCTTTCCCGCAGTCTCGACATCTCTCGGCGCTATCCGCTCTGATATCGTTGCTGGAGGTGGTGCTGGAAGGTCATCTTCCACGACGCCAGGGATCGGACCAACAACAACAGGGTCATTAAAGAAATCCTCGAACCTCATCCGCTCGACCGGGTTACGTGTGAGCAGCTTGCCGATTAATTTCACCATCTCTTTACTGACTTCGGTGTCCTTGGGATACTTCACCCGATCCTCGCTAGCCTCGATTTTCCTCAACAACTCGACGTGGTTCCTTGCCCGGAAGGGCGGGCGGCCAGTCACCATTTCGTACAGCACCGTCCCGACGGACCAGAGATCCGCTTTGGCATCATATCGTTCGTATCGAAGAATCTCCGGCGCCATGTATAGAGGGGAGCCACAAAGTGTGTCGGCTAGGGAGGTGGACGGCAGGACCCGGGCGAAGCCAAAGTCTGCCAGCTTGAGCATGGGCAAGGAGGCGAGCCCGGCGTTGGGGATCAACGAGTCATCGCTTCCCGACAGAATCGACCGCGCGGTTTGCTCCCTGAACCGAGGAGAAGGGAGAAGAAGGAGGTTCTGCGGCTTGACATCCCGGTGGACATAGTTATGCGCCCGGAGAAACCTTAGGGCGCTGGCGAGTTGCTGGAGGAAATGGCGAGCCACAACCTCATGCAGACCTGAATTGGGAATAGCAGGATACTTGCGAGCCATGTCGTGAGTTGCGGGATTGGTGCCCAGCTTGTCGCGCTTCTTGATGAACATGGACAAGTCTCCCAATTCACAGTATTCCATGGCGAGGTTGATGTGGGTAGCTGACTCGATGCAGTCGTGGAGGGCAACAATGTGCGGGTGCCGCAGGGTCTTGAGAATCTTGATTTCGCTGTACAGATTCTCCCTGAGCTTTTTGTTGAGTCGGCTGAGCTCGACCGACTTGATGGCAACGAGGGCATTTGATGTCTGTAGTATGATATTGTCAGCCTCCTTCGTTTTATGCATGCCTTTACATTCTCCAGACACTTGGCTGGCGACTTTGGTGAAGTACGAACGGCCCTAGGCGTTACCCAGAGCTAGCGCGGGGAGCAAGCAGAGATGGAAGGCATTCTGTGGTAACACGAGAGAGAAAGCCAACTGATAACGGAAAGGGGAGAAGTATGGAACATCACTCACCCTGTGGTATCCCCTGTAAACTGTCGCAAAGCTCCCCTTTCCAATCTCGGCATCTATCCTAAAGTCGCCGACACCATCACTGGACTCGGAAACACCAATACGGCGGCCCCGAGCCTTGGAGGCAGCAGGATGTCGGTCCGCCATGTTGCTTTCCTGTGAAGCTTGTCCAGGACAGGGAGGTATAAGCTGGGCAATAGAAAGCCCGGGGAGGGCCTCGAGGAATTATAGAAATCGACGGACGGATGATGTCGTCATATAGATGGGTGTCTCGGGTTGAAATAAGGGCGAATAGCTGGGGCTAATCGCGGGAGTATTAAGGGAAAGATCGAGCCGAAGCGGTTGTCAAGGACGAGGGACCAGGGCTGGCGAGAGGTCCAGTCGGTGTGTCGTGCTGGCTCTTTGTGGCGGCAGACCAACGGGAGTTCAGACACGCCAGCAGGCATCCGATAGGCGGATGCGCCTACCTCGGTGCAGAGTCGACGGCAGAGGTGCACGAAGGATGTCGAAGATGGAGAAGAAGACCCCTTGTGCCGACGTAGGACAAGGGGACGAACCGCTACGTGGAGGAGAGAGATCAAAGATGGAGCGCACACAACCGGGGGGGTTAGAGGCTAGGTAGTGGCTTGGATTTGGAACGCTTCTTTGCGTAGGGAATTCGGGATTCGAGGGTCTAAACGCGGGAAAATGGCAGCCCAAGACGGACGAACTGGGTGACGCAGAGCGTGGGATAGGTAACTGGAACTGCGCAAGGCCTAGGTAAGTAAGTTGGGATCTTCCAGGTCAAAGCTTCATCAAAGGCTGTATGAAGGGATAGAGCACGAAACTAGAGGTACCTTTAGGAAGAAAGCACACAGCTCCAAGATCAAATTAATGACTCGGAACCAGTAGAGCTCGGAAAAGCGGTCGAACTTTGACGGGCGGGTAGATGGTGTTGCGAGGCGTCGGTGACTCGGTGATGATGGGTGTAAGGTACAGGGGGGTTC